ATCTCCTAATCTAGCGACATTCAGTGGTTTTAGAGTATCTTGAACACGTGGTGGATAATTGTCTGTAAAGATTTAATAATTAATATTTCAAGTCAGTTTTAATAATATTAATCGTTTGCTATTAGTTTTGGAGTGAAAAAGCGCAGTAAAACCCCATTCTTGTAGTAACAAATATTGCAACTATGCTTAGCTTCGCTGAGGGATAATGCCATTCCTAGGAGACAGATTTTACACCGGCAGTACAGTTGATATAATCGTGTTATCGAAGTAAGAATTATTGCATATTTCCCCTTAGGGCTTGACGCCCTTAAGTATTTGATCACTCATATACCACGCGGTATTTATAAATTTGATATTACGCGGCGTAGACAGTTCGGATCCTCAATGTGATACAAGGTCACACTGATCTCTGCGAAGATATCAAAATTACGAAATTTAGATTCTCCAAAAAACTATTTGCTGGTTTTATGGGTTAATGTTTCATTATGTGTTGTACCAAGAATGAAGCGAGTTTCACCGATTACATTTCACTTTTTAAAGATGTTATTTCGGTATTCTTAATTGCTAGTGCAATATAGTTTATTTCATTTCGAGGTGTGTTGAGCTTCCTTTGGAACCTCGCGCAAAGTTTAAATAAGGAAATAAATATTTACTCGTTTTAAGTTATCGATGGAGCATTAATTTATCGAAAACTCAAACCCTGTTTGTTATGTTCTCCACAGCTTCAGTTACTCGTACGTTCCGCCGGAAATTCTCGTCATTGACTTTCATAAACAACACGGGATTATACTTTTGGTCTTGGCTTGTACTTTGTACCAAGTCATTTGTTTACGTTACCATATATTTGTCTAAGTCTAAATCTGCCCGCTTCGTAGTCGAGGTCGTCACGAAACCACCAATAAAAAAAAGGATCAAACGCGCAGACAGACGCAAAACATGCTTTCTTGCCGACTTGCCGCTCAGAAAGCATGTTATATGATAGGGAAAATCTTGACACATATAACAAAACCTAATTCAAGTTGTGATGAAAGATCAAAGCTTTCTCGCATTCGCAGCATTTGCTTTTTCAAAACGATTTCAGAAATGTTTTTCTGAGAAAAAATGATCAGTCTCTGTTATCTTTCTTTCACCTCATATCTCTGCTCACACAATAACTCGTCAAGTAAAAGTGTAAACATACATCCCCATATCATGGTTTCCTGTTCATTATTTAGTGACCGCAATTTCCACTACGTATCCCAGGGAACGAGCTGTTGGCTTAGCATCTATTTGACTGTCAATTTGCAGGAAAAAAGGGCAGCTAAAACTAGTAGAAAGTTAAAGAACAGTAAGAGAATTTCCTTACATAAGTTCTTACTGATTCTAGAACTAGTAGAAATGTTGCTTGCTTGCTTTGATCTTTTAATCCATTACAAGAGAACTGTTCTACGCGCAAAAAAATATGCCTGTGGCTCACTTTTGTCTAGATTGCGTACGATCGTCCGTTCAGTGAGAAATTGAGCAGCAACGTGCATCATGACCGTTTCACTGAGACTGGAGAAAAAAAAACTGGAAACTGAACTACCAGCTATTTTTAAAACCTATCAAGGGGTCAATCTCTCTAAAGTCATGGGTTTAGTATCTTGAGGTTCTCAGAAAGAAATTTTAGCAGTGCAACCTATCCTTTTTTCCATTTACAGTATAAAACCAAATGGTTTGTAGTGTAAACTCATTTCTTTATTACATTCCCTCTCGTTCAACCGTCAAATTGTTAATATTTAATGCGAGTAAGTTAGCTTGAACGTTTTGGTTCAGGATACAAAATTCTCCTCAACATTACTTTTTGTGCAGTTCTGTGTATAATCTTAGATCCTACGAGAGAAACTTCTTTCAGGTACTTTTTGAGTGGTTCTATATATTTCTCCAGGATCCAACAAAGAAATTTCTCTCCAAATCTAACTTTCTAGAGCCACTTTTGAGAGCGAGAG